TGGGCGATATATGACAAGGGTAGCGGTTGGAAGTTCGTTGGGGCGATTCGCTAGGGGTGGGCGCGTAGTGTCTTGCTGCGGATGTGGCTGGTGTACGTGAGTAGCCTACAAACTAACAGCCGCGAACACGTTAGCACGTTCTTGACACTTTTGGACTCGTAGTACTAGCAAGGTCCTTAAGGAGCCGCTGTTATTAGCCCAAGTTTATAACAGTTTGTCCTTAAGGGACCTCCTTAAGGGAATTTTTTTCCTCTTAAGGAAAGTTATAATAACTTTTTATAATAAAAATTCCTTAAGGAAACTGATTTCCTTAAGGAAGCGCCTTAAGGAAGCTCCTTAAGGGAGCTCCTTAAGAGATTTCTGGGAATTGCTAATACTATAAATACTAATATTGGGGCGCATATGTTTGAGGGATCCCTATAGAGGAGATGGATTAGGGGAAGCCTGAACTTGTCTGGAGCCACTGACGGTTGTCTTACAGCACGTTCATCTCCGGAGCCTCCTCGGCGATTAGGTGGCACAGAAGGCATTCGACTGACTCTTTGTTAGAGCTGCTACACTAAGTACGTAGAAAAAGAAGATAAGTAGCTCTTTTTCAAGTAGAAAAAGTCCCAGGGACGATGGAGGTGGTGGGGATGCTTCAGCGGTACTAGAAGCCTTACCTTTGAGTGACAACGGGAGGAGCAGGAGGAGGCAACTCGTAAAACTCAGCGTCTTCAGGATGCGCCTCTTTGTAGCTTACCAGCTTGTAGCCGGACATACCTTCGACACGAAAGGAACCAGCTGAAACGTTGTAATATGTTGAAGAAGAAGAGTAAGTATAAGATGAAGAGGAAAATAACTTTGAAGATTGTAGGGAAAAATAACCTCATCAACAAGCCCAAATGTAAGTATCATCTTCAGAAAATATCCCAGGGAAGAAATACCACGCGAAGATCTTGCCTCTTGCTTCCTTTTCTTCTGCGGTGGCTCCACTGCCTCTCGAGGGATAAGGATCACAGGAGGCCTTCCAGAATTATCTTGCCGAGGCCTTACGTTATTGCTTGCAGAATCTCGGTCTCGGCCTCGAGGAGGCTGTTGAGAAGTAGAATTCTGTAGTTCCCCAGAACCTCCACCACCGCGCGGGGTGGCTTGAGCAGAAGAGTTACTGCCACTACCTTGAGGACCCTTGTTGCCATGGTCTTGTAACTGATCGCTTTTCCGAGTTTCATTCAACTCTTCTAGCAGACCCAGAACTGCACCAGCAGACTCCGCCAGAAGCAAATTAGCGGGTTCGTCAAGGGACCAGATGATTGTTTCTCTAGGAAAGATTGCCTTGCGACCGGGAGAGATATTCGCAGGAAGATACAGTTCGTGGAAGGTCCAAGTCTGCATTTCGAAAATAACCTGGGTGGAGCCTAGTAATTTTGTTCAAAAGCTAGAGCAGAATGTAGAGAGATAGATAGACCAATAGATACAACAAGACCTTATTTCCCAAACTTCGTTCTTGAGCACGGCACTAACCTTCGTTCTTAGGAGCGGCCTTTCGCGATGACCATGAAAATCAAATCTTCACTACTGAGTCGTCCTCTACAAAAAAAAAATAACAGGATGTACTCTATTAGTCTTCGCAAGTGGTGGCTGTGCATTTGGTGGACGCGTGCGTAGTTCACGGTAATAAGGCGACTCTGCATACAGACCCATATCGTCGTCATAGTAGTCGTGAGACTTGCGAAAGTCTACTTTTTCTGATGTGATGAACTCCTTCAAGTCTTCCAAAGCACGTACGGCATTTTTGTTACGAGTTTTGCTGTCAGTAATATAGGCGTAAGTCGGCATCCTCTTTTTGGAACTCTGCTGTTGTCGTTGGGCTCCCTGTTGGCCTGTGCTGGCTGTTGGGTTGTTCTTTTTGTTTTTGATGTTCTTGTTCATCATCGTTGTATTCGTATTCTTGGAAGTAATGCTGTTAGTTTGTTGGGTATTTGAACTGGGAGCGGGTCTAGTATTCGTGGGAGGTGGTCTAGAAACTTGTTGTGATGTGGGATTTTTTGGTAATGCAGCTGATGTTAAGGTTGTAGTGGAGGATGCGGGAGGAGCCGCTGCTCCCGGCGCAGCAGTACTGTTCATATTGTTGTTATTTTTCTTTCCGCGTTTAGGGGAAACCCCAGGAATTACGCCCTGTCCCTGAGAAGCTTTAGTAATATTGCTCCGATTCATCTCAGTAGAAGTAGTTTTCTTGTTCATCTTCCTATTGTTTGATGTAGTATTACTTGCAGTCGTTTTTCGTGAAGTAGAGATAGCAGAAAGCTCACCGCCAGCTTCACCTTCAGCTTCATGTACTTGATCCCCGTTTTCCATTTCCACGGCTTCTTCTTTAATATGAACATTGGCGGACCTTCCAGATGGAACAGGCGAAGACTCCTGAGCACTCGACTGGACTCCACCCTCAGAGGCACCTCCCGCCTCGGATGAGCTTCTGGAGCTTCTCATGTTGATGTCGATGCAGCTCTTGTTCTGTAGTACCACTTGATGCCGAAAGAACTACAACAGAGGCTGCCGGGTTCCGAACTGCACGTAAGAGTAGCTACTTGTTCACACCTGCTGGAGTTGTTGGCGCCAAGAAAGCGTGCAGGAACGCGTGCAAGAACGAAGAGACAGAATGGACGGGGTGGGCAAGGACGGTGTGAGAAACGATTAAGATTGAGAAGGAGCAACAATGTTACCTAGCAACGAATAAGATAACTGAGAAACGACGACATCATTGCTATGGTTCTTAACAGCCATAAACATCTTCTCTATTATGACAACAAAACTTCAAATTGTATGGCATGAAATTTAGTGTACTTACAACCTTTATGTACGATATGAATCAAATTTTTATGCTTATCTTCTTTCCTAATGTGATAAAAAACGGAAAAGTGATCACGAAGAGGAAACAAACTACAAATGTTGCTATGTAATACAGTATTAGTCTCTGTGTCTTACACAAGGCAGAATCAAATTCGCTAGCAATCGCTTCGGAGGCACTGAAATTTTAATCGCTCATGAAATGTTCTCCTTTTACCGTGATAGAAGATTGTAAACAGCCATTGTGGTCATGAACTCGAACATCTCTGATCGGCAGATCCTGAGCTTGATGCCTAGAACTTCCGCCGACACCTAGTAGAATCCTGTCATCTGACCGAGGACCCGTCCAGACGGGGGACCCACGGGCTTTTACTTCTTCCTTGGCAAGGATATCCGTGACATACCCGACTGCAAGCGAATGAACACTTTTTCTTCAAGCAGTGCCCCTGCGAGGAGAAACAGCTTATCCCCACTCCTGAGAAAGATGATTGACTAACGCTGCGTCTGACCACAGCTCATGCTGTTCACTAGCCGTAGCCTCGAAACGTGACTTAAGAAATAGAAGGTTCCTTCTGTGCAATTTCTCCTTGAGAGGTTGTATCAAGAAATAGTTCTACAGTAGATGTGCTATTATTACTATAAATTAACATGATCGACGCACTACACTATGAGACTTTAGAATCGGAGTCGCGATTTTCTCTGCCTCTGGTTGCAAAGGCTTCTTTGCCTGTGCTGCTGCCGGTGTTAGTGGTGGTCGGCTTTGTGGTCGCCACAGAGCCCTTTCCTTGGTGTTTCGCGGTCTCCTCTGGAGAGAAGTACTGATCTTCACTCAATCTGCGCGAGAGTGAGAGATAGCACACAGCGTCGAGGACTATTTGCATCTCTGCATCCCATCCATCATCGAGGAAGCCTGCGTCGATGGCATTCGTATGCGCTTCGGGTCAGTCGGCTCGCACGCCCACCGCCCTCAATATGTTCCTCTGCAAGCGCAGAAATTAATCTTGTCTGTTTTACCTTGTCTCCGTCTGCAAGGGTGCACTTATTCGCTTTCGATGACGAGTGCTCGTCACTTATAGTGATGCTAGGCCTCTGCTCTGCACGATGCTGCAAAGCGTCAATCGCAATCAAGCGCGGGCTTGCCGCTCCCAAGGAGCGCAGAGGCGTGTCTACCAAGAATAGGCGTGCCGTCAAGCGCCAGCCCGTCAAAACCAATGCGCGCCCTTCAAAAAAGCGTCGTCAGCGAAAGATTGCATTTCTTCTGGGTACTGAACAGACGCTACTGTATCAGGACTATCTCCAGATTGAACAGCTTGCGGGAAGAGGAAAGTTTCACCTGTTTAGAAAGAGAGATGAGTAGTTCTTCGTTGTGTTCGTTGTATGATCATATATGCATACGCATCGTAGTTTCACACATCTTCACCGATCATGCAAAGATGTATCTATTCTATAATAGTACCTCGCAACGACGAAGAAACGTCTTGACCTCCCAACAACTTCGCTTTGGCTCCTCCCAACAACTTCGTTTTCCCACTTACCGGTAGCTCCGGCAACTCCTTCGCACTCATATCCAACGCTTTTTGCGCATACTGCTCTAACATCGCACTCCTGTCCCGCGACCATTGCAAGTAGCGATAGCCTTCCCTCACTGCGTTATCCGCTATGCGTGCTGCGTTCAGAGCTTTTCTCATAGAGTGCCAACTCCTCTCGTTCCAAGCGTCCTTCATGAACAATGGGTGTAAACTGGGATTCTTGTTGGCTGGGCCACCTCCAGTGGCAAGATCTGCGGCAGAGATGACAATCCCAGGAGTGGCAGGAGTGCAATTGAGGTTGTCCTCAGTGCAGTTGTTACGGGTCATGGAACCAGCCATTTTGCTTGTTTTCTATCGATGTTCTTCTAAAACTGAATGACAATGATGTTTAGGTTAGTCTAATTCTTAGTTCTCTCTCACTGTGAAAAAATCTATTCATCCAAATTCGCGGTACCGGTAGTCGTACTAGTTGTAAGTTAGATCGACGAGGAGAATTTAGTGACATCCTTGTATTGTTATCAACATCGAATATTCTTTTTTCACGATGTAGAATCCTTCAACGCGATTTCGTACGAAGAGAGGCACAAGTACCCGACTGCAACGACCACATCCAACCGATGAAAGTGGAATGCATAGGCATGGACCGATTGAAATTGATACTGTTTCCTGGAGGAGAAAATAGATCGATGTGATCAATCAATCAAGTGGCAATGCGCGGTAGCCCGAACTTGGCGGACATGACCGTGTCACTGCTCGTCGTGCCTCACTGAGTATGCCCGCTCACGCGAGGTCAGTCGTCAGACAAGGGTACGACTCGTAAATTGACATTGACAAGGACGCCGAATATGAATTCGTCCTGCAGCGTCTGCCGCACAATTCTGTTTTCGGCACCTAATCGTCCTTCGCGTCAACGCGTCACCACTCAAAGCGGCTGTTCGAAACTAGGATTCAATCCAAAAAGGCAATATCGAAAATCGTATGTCTTCCTTCTTCGAAGTGGCCTACTTATCGTGAAACGGCCCGAGTAGTGTAAAAGAAACGCAAATAACAAGAGTGCGTGCGCATCTTCCATATTCATCATGTGTTGCTTCACAGAATCTGTATAGCCTTCGTTCTAGTCTTCATCAGCTTCGCGGCTTCCACCGAGCTCTACCGCCAGACGTTGTACTTCCCCAATCACACTAGAAACGAGGTCACGACTATGCAGCGGCGCTTGCATACTCAGTGGGCACTCCTTGCCGAGTCTTTTAGTATAAAACCTCAGGCTTTGTTGCTCGTCTGGTAAAGACGCTGATGTGGTGTTCATGCTGTTGTGGTTAAGAGTCTGACTTTGATGTTCTTGATGTACCGACTCGTGTTGTCTCGTAGATGGTCCTTCGCATTCTCCTCCTTCTTCGGTTATTTTCTGTCGTCGCTTGGATGTCGGAGTAAGCTGAGTAGAAGATGATTGCTTGGGTGATGTACTGGAAGGATGCTTATTTTCATTTTGCTTCACTACGACATCGACTTTGGTGGGACTACTCGGGATGAAGTTTCCATGATAGTAGGTCCCGGGGACACCAGGGCTCGGGGGAGACAAACTTCCTGGCGGGGTGGTACTCTCCGGTGAAGCAGTATGAGCGCAACCTGCTTCCGGTGAAGACACATCTTCAGCCCGAGTCGTGATTGTTGTTGCCCGTGCTGTGGTTTGGCGAGAAAAGGATGAAAACTTGCCTTCGCTTTGTGCTCGCGGAGAAGACGTAGAACAAGTCGTTGACATCAGGGAAGGAACGTGCGGCATCAGAGGAGATGTTGAAAGTTGCCTGCTCTGGCTTCGCAGGAGTTTCAGACTGCACTCTGCCTTACCGCCGGATAAACGCGTGACAGAACCAACGTAGGAAACCTTGAGACGTCGAATTAAGATGTCATCCTCTAACTTCTTGATGTTTTCGAGCACGATTTTTTGGGCAGAAGTTTGCAGTTCTTCATCCGATCTCGTCCGATCTTGAGAAAAAGAAGCCATCAATCTCGTACGCCACTCTCGTATGCCAGGCAATAGCGGTTCCACGTTCGCCACGTTGACGCCGCTACGTAGCAGAGAAGCGGAAGACGATCCCAGCAGGACCCTGCGCGCAACGGTCACGAGACGCGCAACAGCAGGCTCGCCGCTTAGCTCAGTCGCAAATTCGCTGATCAGTTGCAGGACAGACGTGGTGGGCGTGGAACTGTAGCATTTAGAACTAAGAGAAATCTCCCATTTTCAGCAGCATCTTGGGTCTCGTTTTCCCTTTAAGAACGGGACCAAGATGCCTCTGAAAATGGGAGATTTCTTGTAGCCTTAATGTTATGCTTCGTTGCACCTCCAGCAGCACCAGCAGAAGTAGGAACAACTACACGTTGGAGTAAGTGATCACGTTGGAGCAATCCCCTTCCCGCTGTCTCCCTCAGCGCATCCACAAAACGACATTTGTTGCTCGACATATAGGCTAGAAGGAAAGCAAGTCCCTGTGCGAAACACGTTCCCTCGATAGTCGTTACTCGATCTCCACTGTTCTGCAGGTACGCAACGGTGGACTCGAAGGGCAGAGCCCCTCGACAAATAGAGCTACCGTAGACGTAAAGACCCAGAGTGAGTGGTGGAGGGTGTGCATCCGGTGCTGGCTCGCTGTCTTTGCTCACTTTTGAGACCGTGTTGATGTTTTTGTTCTTACTCGTATTGGCTGCGGTGAGATTTCTCATAGCCAACGCTTCTCGTCCCGGAGGGGACGAGCCACACTCTGTAGCGGCGACACATGCAGCTGACAGGAGTAATTCATCTTCCACTGAAGTAGAAGTTGCTCTCCCACCTCCTCCTCCTGCTTGTGATGCCAAAACATGAAGATCGTCTCCCTTGTTGTCGTCATTGACGTCGAAGAGTTTCACGTTCGATCGATCCCGCACATTAGGTCTCAGTGGGCGTCGTTTGCGTAAATGCGATTGCCCTCTGTGCTTTTCTGCACTGCTTCCGATACCACTGCCGCCTCTGCCGCTATCTGCTGGGCTGCGATTGTGACGTTGCTCATGGAGAAAATCTTCTGTAGCACTGCAACTGCCCTCAAAATTGTGAAGACTGTTGCGACTGAGCTTTCTCTTCAGATGCGAAGCGCCCTTGCAATTTCCACCCTCGTCCAAAAATCGCGTATGCATCAGGATTTCCTTGTACAGATCAGCCTCACCACCTAATGCTGCCGCGTTGAAGGAAACAATGTGAAAGCCCTCTTTCAGAAAGAGAGGATGAAGTTTAGCCATGGTCGAGTTGCCGGCAGAGTAAGAAGCTGTCTTGCCATGGTCCTCTCGTCGAGAAGAAGCAAGAACTACTGGTGTCAATGCTGCTGATGAGGGAGATTTACTTGTTGAAGAAGTAGGAGAGCCTGATGAAGCCTCCTTGATTTCTGAGTTTCCTGTATCCATATTGATAATCTCCTCCTGCGAAACATCTACGACAATCACTTGATGCGCGAATTTGAACGCTGTGACTGCGAGTTTTCGTAGGAAATCTTTGCAGATCGAAGTAGAGGTAGTAGCACAAGTATCGCTATCGCCTGCGCCCGCCGTGTAGGGCCAGCTACTGGCACTAGCAGAAACGTCATGACGATTCAACTGTAGCTCATCATCGTAAACGGCTTTCCAAGAGAGTCTCGCTGCTTCTCCTTGATGCTGTAACACACCCAACAGTCGGTATTCCACACTGCCACTGCGGCCACTATTTTCACTCGCTTGTTTTAGTTCCTCCTCTAAGCGCTTCATCAGTATGTTTTCACTAGTTGTAGTTGTAGTGTTCTTCTTATTGTCTTTGCGAGCAGCACATGAGGCATTACTAGTATCGGAATTCTTCAACAACAACACCACCCCCACGTTCATCTTCGTCAAGAACTCGGAATGCACCGCCCTCAAGGCTCGCGCCGCATCTGCAGACGGCACCACAGCAGAGATGTTTCTCTCCGAAGACCCCTGTGCGATCGCCAAGATGTTGATGCAGCTCTTGCCCAAAGCATGGAAGAATTTGCCGGAAATGCCAGCTCGCATCCGCATACCATCACCGACTGCGGCAACTACACTGCATGGCTCCGTGACTTGGATTGACTGGATCTCCCCAAGCCTCAACTCCTCTGCAAAGCATGCTTGGACACTCTGCACCGCTTGACCGCTATCCTCCGTCTTTACCGCGAAACAAACGCTTTGCTCGGTTGCGGCTTGGCTGATGAGTTCGATGCCCACCTGATCCTGAGCCAGTCTGGAAAAGAGTCGCGAGAAAACCCCAGGAACTTCTGTCATTCCGGCACACTCGATGTTGAGCAGCGAAATGCCATCGTAGACGTTGAACCTGGTGGAGATTTCTATTCGAGGATGATAGACACTTGGATCATCATGTACGCAGTCGTCGGGCACAAATTTATCTTCAGGTTCAGATACTTGGATCATCATGTGGGCAGTTGTCGGACACAAATCTATCTTCAGGTTCAGGTAAAAACAATGGCAAAATACAGTAAATGACGTATACTATACATAGTATAAGCAAACTAGAATAGTACCCACAGACCGGCCGACTCAGCGTTTTCCCACTGGTCAAATAGATCCTAGTGCCGGCATCCTCATAAGGCCGAAACGTGTTTTTGAGCATGATCGGGATACGACTTTCTTGTGCAGGTCGCATCGTCTTCGGATGAATGACTTTAGCTCCAAAATAAGCCAACTCAGTGGCTTCCAGGTAGCTCACGTCAGGTAGGACATATGCGTCAGGCACTCTCCTTGGATCCGCTGACATGACTCCGGACACGTCAGTCCAAATCGTTAATAGTTGAGCCGAAAGCAATCGAGCAAAGATGCTGGCAGAGTAGTCAGAACCATCGCGGCCAAGAGTTGTTGCACCACCACCAAAGTAGGATGCGATGAAACCGGTTGCGACGAAGTGCTGTCTCGTAGTTTGTGGAGTTGTCATTTCCTCCTCAACACAACTCTGAAAAACTCCTTCCAATCGTTTAGTTGATTCGTCCCACAACACCATTTCTGTACCAGGCTCCAGCGTGATCACATCTCTGGCATCCAGGAAACGGAAAACGTTCTGCGTTTGCTCGTGACTGTTGCGTTTCTGCATCAGCAGTGCTAAGATGGACGCCGACCACATTTCGCCATAACCGGCGATAAGTCCTTGAATCTTCTTGTCTTTGCGTATGAAAGAGGAAAGTGGGATGTACATGATCTGGGAGATACGAAAGAAAGGAAAGTGAGAGGTACATGAACTGGGAGATACGAAAGAATTGTTGTAGCGGTGTGAAGAAAACAACAACAAGTAGATTATATTCTACTTCACTCTACTTCTACTTTGAACAAAATACAACCATCCTGAACCGTAACCATCCTCAATATTTGAATCGCATGCAGTAACGACTCGATTTCCCGCAAATCACTTTCGATTTTCCTCGCTAACGGAAACACAGCCAAAAATGCTTCCCTGTCTCCCACTTTGATGTCATCTCTATCGTGTTCAAGTTCATCCGCGTTTTCACCACCAGCGTCTCCTGGTGCTCCAAACAACTCCCACAAACAGCTGAAATGTTTGTCCCTGATCTGCGCTAAGATGACTTTGTAGCAGTCATTGCGACAGGCACATTTGACAAGATTGAGGAGCAAGTCTGTTGTTTTCGGCTTGCCGCCCATAGCAGACACGACCACGCAGAATCGACAATCGTTTTGACGTTCTGCCTCAGTCTCGATGATTTCGGCAACGCGTACGAAGCATGAAGCATCCTGAACGGAAGTCCCTCCAAATTTGTGGACCTCCCAACTGAGGCATTCGTCTCCCATTGGATCCTCCATGGCTGGGATGGGAGAAGCGAGGACCGTCAGAGAGTGACAGTCACCAGAACCTCTCGTACTACGAGGTGGAAAAGTCAAGCAAGCAAGCAAGCAAGATGATGGAAGAGAACCTCGAGCTATTTTTTTTTTCAGTACCGAAGCTAGACTCTGATTTTTCGCGTTAGCTTGACCGTTCGATTAGATTAGAGTGGCTTCCGCCTCAGCCCTGCGCTTTTGACTCGTTTAACGAAAACACAGATGATCTGAACGCCGTGCTGAACTTTCTCTACAAGAATTCAATGGTGGTTAGGTAATCCAATCCGCTGTCATGCCCAACACATGCCAGAAATTACCGGTTGTGTTGAAATCAGACCGACCTACCTTGGTTAATCTAGTCCACGAAACCTGTCGCTTTCTCCTGCTTCCGTCTGAACACGAAGGAGAATATCGCTCTTACTTGGTGTTTCCCCTGCTGCCATTCTTGTGTCGAAGTGATTTGTTGTGTTGCAACTTCGCTATTCGCCTTCATCCGATGAACGATTGGTGTCGTCCGTCGGTGATAGGAAAAAATAATATTAATGGATAAAAGAATCACTTGATTCTTCAAGACTCACTTGATTCTTCAAACAATTAAATATGTTGGAAAAAAAAGGGTGAGAGTAGCTCTCGAAATCTTGTACAGGGTTCTAACCACACGAGCACGAGCAAGGTTTGTCCCTAAAGAGGAACTGCTTTTTGTTCCTCTCATTCATTTTTATCCCCTGGGTGGGGATCATGCTGGGGTGAGATTGATACTGATGAGAGTAAGACGTATGAAAAACGTCTATATGAATGAGTCTCAGTGTCGTGTTCCGTGATCACAGTCACGACATTCGGGTGAGCTTCTCAATTTCTAAAAGTGTGGGCTAAACCATACTCTTGCATTAGTGCTGTTGCGATCGTTCGATTGCCGATGAATGTTTAGTATCTATTTGAAAGCATAGAAGCTGTGTAGTTCTTATCTTGTTGTAGTTGTGTCTACTTTTCTGTGAGAAAAGGAAAAGGATGCAATGAAATGTTTTTATGTGTGTTTGATGAAATATAATCTCCTGAGTAGCTCTTATATTACGGGTAAAAGCTTCTGCCAATTTTCCAACAAAACTAAAAAATGCCAGCACTGATAGATTATCATCTACGGAAACATGGAAACGTAAAGAAACGAATGACAACGAACTCAGACTGAAAATGACAACACGAATTAAAACGTTGTATTTGACCAAGACTTTTCTTTGAAATGATGATAATTTTGGTCGATAAATACAGAAATCCAGGAGGGGATGAAGGGGCTGAACTTCTGTGGTAATGTGAGCAACAAGAGTGTACATCATAGCTAAAAAAAAATTTGGGACATTTGTCCTTCGAATAATTTGAAATGAACACTATGTCTGTGACTATCTACTTATGATGTAATATAATGACTTCTACAACGGTCTCAAGGTGTAGTGCTTAAAATGGTCTCGAAGTAAACTCCATCCACACTGCGTGGTAAAAATTCGACAAGTTGCTACTTCCGCGTGCAGACGCAGGTAAACGCTCTTCCGGGTTCGTTGCTTCCAAATGCAACTGTTAGAAGAAGGTCAGGGTTGGTATTCATTCATTCATTCATTCATTCGAACCACGTAGCAACTCATAAAAAGCTGCCTAGTGATCTATGTATATGTCATGTTTGTTGCCCTGATATCGCCTTTCGTGACGACCGTAGGGCTTCTCAATTTGCAACTGATCACAGTCGAGACCGCGACAGAGACAGCCTACCCAATCGTAAGTCGGAATGTAAACTATGGACAAGGAGATCGATGCGACTACTAAAACAAAAACTTTCACTTAGTAGAGAAATTCATTTACCTAGACATGATCACTACATTGTTTATCTTGTTCATCCAAGATTGTTTGAACAGACGTTCTTAACTCAGAAAGGCCTCATGAAAGTCCGGTCTCTGTAAAAAGGCGAGCATGAACTTCTTCTCCACGACGCACTGGTGTGCCAAGGCATACCGTCCGAAGCGTGCTATGCATCTAGCAGTCCACGGATTCTTTGCATCAGGCCCAATGAAGGTAGTAGGACTAGCCGCTCCTGTTGTTGTGTAAATGTGTAAATATAAATTCTATTATATATGAGGAGCAGTAGGAGCTCCAGCTCCTGTTGTGTAAATGTAAATAAATTATGCATATATGTTGAGCAGTCGAACGTTCTCGAAGTTCGAAGATCGTCCCACTCTATAAACAACTCTATTCTCGTCTCACTCTATAAAGAAATATCAATATTATGAAGTCGAAGATCATACCTGCCACAACGCCAGTGCCCGTTCCTCCTGCATAAGTTGCTGCTGTCTGTGGTGAAGATACTACTTGAATATTGTACCCTTGCTGTTGGTTCTGAGTGGTGGCAGCAACCAGACTGCCTGTCGTAGGGTCAACAAAATACTGCGGCTGCTGTTGCGGAACATAGACCTGCTGACACTGAGACAGATCGAGAAGATATGGCTGTCCGGTTCCCCCTTGTTGTTAGAACTACCGCGTTAATAGCATCCCTGAGTGCGTCCTTGCTACTTCCTTTTTCAAGTAGAAAAAGGAACAAGAATGGCGCTCACTCAGGATGCTGTCGCGGTAGCCTTAATGTTGTCCCCCTCCACGTCGACTATTGTTCGTCGATGACGCAGCATTTACCCTGGCAGCTATTGCTTGTCGTGGTGAACCTCTTGGTGAACCTTTTGGTGAACCTTTTGGTGAACCTCTTGGGGATCCTTGCCTAATATACCTCTTTGGCGCCACACTTGACGAGACACGACCATTGGAACCTGAAGAAAAGGATCGATAGAGATGAAGAACAGTATCAAAATAGGTAAGCGCAACTGCAAGTACTGTCATACATAAATCCTAGTAGTGCACACAGAAACAGGACAGACCCGCTTTAGATATTGTCAAAAGAACATAGCCACTACGGCGCACACAGTAAAAAACTAATAAAATCGGTGGAGCACACCTAACTAGGAAACAAAAAACCAAAAGAATCAAGTAATCCAAATATCTAAATAAGAACTATAGTAAAAAACTTATAAAGAAGATATCCACAAGAACAAGAAGATGGAGTCTGATTCTATATACCCTGTGGCCGCTCTGAGCTCGAATCCTCTTCGTTCGATGATGAAGACGACGACGACCCCGAAGAGGAAGACGAAGAAGAACTTTCATCACTATCCCCTTCGCTTGAAGACGAAGAAGCCTCCCCATCCTCCCTTACTCTTGCCCCACTGGGGCTTGCTGCTCTTCTATCCGAGGCACGGCCACCAGGAGACGGAGCTCTCGCAGCTCTTTCTTCCTCTCTTTTTTGATCCTCGTCGTTCCTCCTTGTTGTTGTTCTAGAAGTTGTACTTGATTTATAATTCTTGGAAGTATTCGTATTGGTCTTGGCGTCCTCAGAATCTTCTCTCTTCCTTCTACATTGCTTCGCGTTCGCAACAGCGGTCTTAGCACCCTCAGCGTTTACTTTTCTAGAAGGTTGCCGGTTGGATGGACGATTCCTGTTTTTGGATCCCTCAGAAGACGTAGATAGCAAGTCGGCCTCCGCAGGTCGTCTTCTTTTCGAACGCTCACAATTTGTAGAACGAACATCATGCCCATCCCTAGTAACGTATTTGTCTCTAGTTTCGTTCTGCTTATCCCTAAGAGCATCCTTGTCCCTAGAAGTAGGTGGCGCGGGGGCTTTGTCTCGCGTCCTGACGCTGACATCCTTCTCCTTATTCCTGCTTCTACTAATCACGTCCATGTCCTGGTCTCTACGAACAGACTTGTCAACTATTGTTCCCCTGACGTCTTTGTCTCTGTCTCTTCTACTACCCCTACTGATATTCAAGTCCTCGCTTCTAGTCGTCCTGTTGATAGCTTTAACGCTTCCACTGATCACCTCTTGGTCTTTCTCCCTGACATCTTTATCTCGAGCATCTACGATGTCCCTCACCACGCCTGTCTTGTCTCTTGTAGAAGTACTCCCTACTTGTTTATTGTTGTCGTTGTCTCTTGTAGTACTCCCTACTTGTTTGAGTTTGTCCATCTTGTCTCTTGTAGTACTCCCTGTCCCTACTTGTTTGTCATTGTCTTTATTGTCCCTTGTTACATCTTTGTCTTTGCGAAGATGAAGGGCTTTGTATCGAAGTCGCAGGGCCTCCACTAGTGCTGGTTCGCACTGAAACAGAGAACTTTTGCCTATTGCTAGTCTACTGCTAGAAGAGGCTCCTAAAACGCTCTTTATGCGTTCATCTCGAGACAGCGGCTTCATCCTCTTGCCCTTGCTTGTTCTGTTCTTAGACTTAGTGCTTCCTTTGCTACCAGCACTAGTACGACTGCGGCCCTTACGATCTACATCGTTCTTCGATCCTTGATCATGTTGACCTTGATGTTGCCCGACCTGCATCTCCCTCAGCGTCCTACTATTGGGTCGCAGGGACACCCGAGCTCCTTTGTTCAAGAACCTTCTATTTGTGAAAGCTGTAGAGCAGGCTCGCGCCGGCTTAATACAAATTTTCCTTTGAGGAAACCGAAGTGGGCCACCTTTATTCATATTTCCCTTGTTGTTGTTCTTGTTGTGGTCGTAGCGGCAGTTGCTAGTCTTCTGATGCGAATGTTTCGACTCGTCCTTGTCCTCTTTATGTCCTCCTTGGTCATCAGTCTCGAGCCTGTACATCTGCTGGAAGGGCTTTATTTTCCCATTATTAGACTCAGCTTTAATCCATCTTGGTCCCCTCTTCATCTCGACCCCTTTCCCCTTGTATTTCATGAGAAAACAGAGCAGAAGAGAAGCAATATGCCGAGAATGATGGATATAAGCCAACCATAACATTTTGATATCGATACTCCTGATTGATGTTCCACCGTGGTTGACCTTCAGTCCGATTGATTGTACCAGAAGTACTACTGGTGATCAGGTCAGGAGTATATTTACAACCCAATAGCCTAGAGGCAGCTTTTGCAGCAATATTGAAGCGTTCTATATCGAGGTTACGCGCAGAGGTAGATCCCGGAAGAGGTCGTGACGCATGAACCCTCTCGTCTGAACGGTGAAAAGATCTGCTTCTCGGTGATGGGGAAGGAGCATCGTCGTGCCTTCGAATCATCCTGCCTTCGCGCTGCACGTTGTTGTTGTCAGGTTGACGATCTCGATCTCGAAAAAAATTCGATTTTCGATCTCCTGTGAAAAGATATTTTCTGCGACTGTGCCACCATCCGCGTAGATTTGGCGGAGTGCGAAGGAAATGGAAATTGAGCTTACAAAAAGCTGAAGGCGGCCGCTCAATCTCGGATGACGACGATCTAGCGTCATGATCGTGACCACTGGAGGAGGGTTGTGCAGGAGCAGCTTTTTTGATCGCCTTGTGCTGGAATAAAGAAGTTGTAGGTGTGATTGTACTATTAGTCGAGGTTTTTTTACGAGGAAAACAAGAGCTAGAGGGGTCGTTAGTATTTTTTGTTGTACTAATATAGCTGCTATAGTTGTAGTTTCTATTTCTTGCAGCTAGATGATGATCTCCTGCTAGCACGCGTTGACTGCTCCCAGACTGCCTAGAGGGTAGGGTAGGAGTCGAAGTAACCTGCTGCGCATTAGATGAGCTAGTGTTCCGCTGTCTTGTTGGAATTCGGCATATTTCTTCCTCTTCCTCATCCGCAGAAGAATTTACATCACTAGGACTGTTATTTCTTTCTATTCTTTTTGATTTTGTGGTAGGACGACCGTTCTTGAGGACGACCGTTTCTTCACCATCGCGGACGCTCCTCTTTGGCGAGCGTGAACGAGGCTGATGATCCGGCTTTGAAGCAGGTGGAGGTGACGTTGATGTAGGTCGTGTCACCACGACTTGTTTACTACCTTTGCCTGTACTATCCGCAAATGGGACAATGTCTTCTACCTCATGATGTGATGTCCGATCAATCCGACGGACAACACCGCGACGTTTGCTGCTGTTCTTCCCGCTATGGCTTTCCTCCTTCTGCTCTAGCTCCTTGTTCACTTCTTTGAGTGTTTTCCCCCCGTTGGGGCCTTTCTTTAGTATCACTCGTCGTCTAGTAGTTGTAGTAGTACTGTTTCTACCCTTATTGTTGTCGTGGTGTTTCATTTCGACGTCGGATTTCACACCCTCTCCTACCTGTCGGTTCGAATCCTCTGGCATCCCCACATCCGACCCTGCTCCATCATGTCCATCATTCGCATTAATACCAGTAGCACCAGCACCAGAGGAACTTTCTTGATCTTCACTTTCAGAGTATTCGTGTCTAGCGATACCTATTTTGTCGAACTCCAAGTCCTCCTGGTACGTCGCGCGTGACCTGCATACCTGTCGCCACAAACGTCTATCTGGAAGCCGTATCTTCACGGTGCGCTGAGAAGGTGGTAGGGGTACTGGAGGATTATCGACTTCTGCTTTCTTGTTCGTTGCATCCTCCTGCTTGGCTGCAACATTCTTGAGAATGGCATGATTTCTCCCTGGAGATGACGAGCTCCAGCTTTGTGGAACAACAACGACTCTGCACTTAGCTCCTGGTGGTGCTTTCATCGTTATAGTTGTCGTGTGAGGGCTGCAGCCTTCGTGGTTGGGGCTTTCCTCTTTAGGACTCTCTATGTCGTGAAGATGTACAGGATCGTTTTCGTCCTTGATGTTCGAGGGACTTCCATCTTGAAGATTTCGGTCGCTGGATGAAATGGAGCTCCTGCTACGTCGCTTCGCGTGCTGTTCATCTGCTGGCTCAACTACAGCTACTTGCTCTTCTTCTTGCTTCTGCTCTTCTCGATTATCATTTTTGGCTTCTTCCTCCTCTTCTTGATTCTTTGCTGACGCAGCCTTTGATGCAGGTCGTCCACCGCAACGGCCAGTAGCATCACACCCATCAAGAAATTCCTGCAGAGATGGGAACTCTGTCTGCGGCTGCTTGGCACCTTTCTTGCTTGAAGCGGCCAAAACTGAATCCGCCTTTATTACCTATATGTGTTCAGAAAGTTGTCCGTAGAAGAAGTGTTGTTTAGAAAGTCGCCTTTGCCTCAAAAAAAAACTGATCCAACTTCTTGCACAGATTCAAACACACACTCCACTTCCACATAGACATTGACATAATATGACAGACGCAGACACTCTTCACTCAGCAAGAATATTAAATGATAACCATGAACAGCATGCATCAAGATCAGCAATGGTGATACCTGTGGTTCTTCTTCTTCAGCATCCCTCATCTGGACCTCTTCTACCACGGACGAACCGTTTTTGACCTCGACGTCTTCTTCTTCTTCCACTTTTTCGTCCATCTCATCCTCTTCTGCAGCGACAACCTGAACGTCCTCATGCTTATTGTCGCACAACGGCATTTCAACATCCTCGTTTTGATGTTGAACATCTTCCTCCGCAGCTTCCTCGTTTTCCAGATCTACTGGTTCCATATCTTCGTCTTCATCAACGTTATTCTTCTGCACCTCAAGCGGTTCCAGCGAACGCGATGAATGCCGCTTTGCCACCATCAGTCTTGAGTGGTCTTCCACTTCGGATATGGTTAGCATTTGCGGCGTTCCGCAGGTCCCTTCTCCTTCTACTTCCTCGTGTTCGGCCTTAGAAGAAGATGCAACGACATGACCAGGATCATCCTCTGCTTGCGACGCGGAACCCTCTTGCTCGACGTGTTGTCCACCAGGTGCTTCTTGATCTTCAGCTTCTTGATCTTCAGCAGAGAGCTCCTCTTCTTGGTCTTCTACTACCTGACCCTGCTCCACCTCGGCATCTCCTTCTCCGCCTTCACCAGCAGCAGAACAATCAGCATCCTTGTTGCTTTTTTCATCACCTTCGTCATTGATCTGTTCCTCGTCGTGAACAGCATCCTTATAATCCTCCTTACGGTTGTTCTCATCGGGTTCCTCCCTCTCGTTGTGGCTTTCTTCATCCTGAGCCGCGTCGTCTCTTCGCTCGTCCTTGCCTATACTATGGTGAGATGACGGAGATTTTTCAGCCTCATGAGACGAAGATTCTTGGTGCTGCTCCTCGTCGTGGTCAAGCTTTTCCACCTCCTGGTCAACAACACAACTGTCAGAAGAACTGCTCTCCTCCACGACCTCCATTTTTTCATCCTCCGCGTTTTTAGGCTTTTCATCAACCTCCACAACATCCATAGCTCCTTCTGCTTCTTCAACTTTACTTTCGTCTACTCTCTCCGAAGAAGTAGATGCTTTTCGCAAAATCTTTCTTTTCTTCGTCCCTTGAGTCGCTTTCTCATCTTGATTTTCACGCTCTGATGATGAGGAGGATCTCTCGGAGGAGGAGGAGGGTCCACGCACATTAGTCGATGAAGCCGGTCGTGGTCCTCTCCCTCTTTTATGAAAAGTCCCCTTAGAGCATGAAGTTGAACAAGACTTCAATTTCTTAGAACCCTTAGAACCGCGCTTCCTTTTCTCTGCAGCACGAACGCGCTGACTCTGCTTTTGCCTGCTCAACTCCCTCTCTAGTTCAGCCCTGCGTTCCATTTCTATCGCGTATTTCCTTTGCCAGTAGGTGTTTTCCCGCACTAGGTGGTTCACGTAGGTCTTCGAATACGCATCACCGTCAACATCCTCGAGAGTCGTGAGACAGGCAGAAGTTGTGATCATGTTGGATGCGGTGCCCTGATCATTCTGACGTAGTTGCTGTTGGTTCTTAGCCTTACTGCCATTAGTAGTTGTTGATGCAGATGGAGATTGACTTTTCTTCTTTGAAAATAGTGCAGTGCCGCCTGCTGGTGCTACGGCTACGTCTGGTGCTGCAACGACTTGTATTTTTGCAGATGACAAAGACGATGATGAAGAGACTGCACATGTCGTCCCGGTTACTGGTTTAAGGTCCTCTACTTGTTTTGAAGTAGATGCAGCAGCCTTCGGAGGAGATGCAGCAGTGACGACCGGGAGGACTCTTGATGTCTTATCCTTGATTCTATTCTTGTCCAACACGCCTGAAGCCGAAGAGGAGCTCGGCTTTGTTGCAACGGGTTTAACTACCTTGTTCTTTGCTCCAGACGAAGCCGCGGGAGAAAACAGCGACTTGGTGTCTTTCTTCTGATGTACAACTACCCGATCATGATTATGAAGTGCAGCGTCCGTAGTGGTCTTCTTGATACCAGTACTAGTAGTAGCCGTGCTCTTAATACTAGTAGCGTCATTTCTTGTTTTACTTCGTGCGCTCGGCGCAGTACTATGACCCTTACAGTTCGAGCTAGTTGTACTTGTAGCGGGCAACCGCGTTCCCACTCTTTGCGTTGGACTAGGGTTACGAGGACGGGGTGAGCTACCTGGTGACACTTTTATCACCTCCTTGACCTTGGCTTTCAGCTCCTTGGGTTTCAGCTCCTTGGGTTTCAGCTCCTTGGTTTTCAGCACCTGCTCCTTGATGTCTTTATTTTCACTTTTTTGACAGGAACTAGCACTACGCTTTGCTTGAACATTTCTGTCCGAGCATGAGGACCGTGACAGTGACACACTCTGTCCCGAACAAGCGGTGGCTGCTGACGTAGACGCTGTCGCGGCCATCGCTTTACCAGTTGTTGTAGACGGGCTAGGAGCGCAACTGCTGACTGCCTTGTTATCTGCTAGTGTCTTCGTGGTACCAGAGGACACAATAGCAATAGGTGAAGTCTTCAATACTTTATCTTTCTTTTTAGACGAGGTAGCGGACGTTGTCTTCACGTCCCGTGTTGTCTTCTTTACGTCACGGACAACACGACGCGACGAAGTTGAAGCCGATGCTTTATCCACCATGTTGGAGTCGGACACGGAAAAAGATGTTTCTATTGTAAAACCCGCCGTATCTTCACAGCACCGGGAGCAGGCAAAAAAAGGGAATCGGACCACGACTCGATTTCGACTGATGGGAGATTTGGATCATGCTGGAGGACGACGTGGTGCTATGAAATTGATACAATCTTCTTTACAAAGAGGTACTAGGAACAAAAATTGTCATTTACGTGCTTTCGTACAAGTACTTGTTCGTTGTAAGAGGTGATCATAAATCTAGACAAAGTTGATTTTTCTTCTCTACTAGAAATGCCGCAATTCAATAATAATATAAGAGGTTGTCATTGTGAAGATCCTTGATGTAGCAGAATAGTTCTAGCAAGAAGGAGAATAGCTTGCATGCCTGCTACAGACTGCAGATATGAAATTCTACTACGCGTCGTTGCACTTCTCTCATTGTTTTTCAAACTACCTGCGCATCATCGCTCGTGTTTTGTGATACAACTGCCACACCTCCTGTCCACATCCAACTCTCTTTCTTTGCTCTCAACACGGAGCAATGACTTGTCGGTTGTCGCTATGATCACTGATCTCAGATGGTCGTCCACTGCAATCATCCGTGACAGGAACACAACGAAGTAGAACGTTCTACGACATCAGAACGTGCAGGTAACCAGAGCTCATCTGATCTTTTCGATTTGCATCTGCATAATTGCAGGATATTACAGGATACTTCCCATATTCGTTCTTATGTTTGTTGTCTTGTTCCTCAATGTTGTGTTACACATGGAGGTTCGATATTCCCTACTAGCCCTATAATAGCCGCATAATTCTCAGCTTCCTTACTTCTAGCCGCTTATTTTTCAGCTTCTCTAAATATCAAATTATATGTATAGCATGGTAATCTGATCTTGATTAGCCAAGAAGTTCTCACTACAGTTACTATGCATCTTCCAACCCTAGCAACTCCTAGGAGCTGAGTCAGTTGTACTTCATTCTACCTATAATTTCAAGTAGTAATTCTATTACATCTACATGCTGCTCATTGGTCACTAATCAGATTCTAAATTAGGCGCAAAGATGATCGCGCTGTGCACATTTATCATGCTCAAAAACTCCTCTTCGAGAACTAGTCTGATCATTTCACGTGTATGACGTTGGTCTACGTCTAGTTCTTTTATGACTGTTCTTGTCTTTGTTCCTTCTACTTCATGTTCATCTCCCTTGTTTTCTCCATCCTCAAAGCTCACCTTGACGCTCCATTCTCGCCTTATCGGCAGTTTCCCCAGACTAGCGAAGCAGAGGTCGATACGAGTGCCACTTGGTATCACATCCTTTGGAGGAACTAGTGCGTCCACTGCACCCATAGTTAGGCCAGCTAGTTGACTCACAACTGAGGTCGTAGCAGAACGTAACCTGCGGACTGCACCGGTTGTGATCGGAAAACTTCTAGATTCATTGGCGGAAAAGAGGAAACCGTTGCGCGTGTGGCTGCAGTGACCTCCACCGAAAAAGAGGTGTGCAGGAACGGAAGCGCCAAAAGATAGCAGGTTGGTCGTCAGTCGGAGCCCGGCTCGGAGACTGCGGAGCATAACTGTCGTGGGTTTTTGATGCATGTTGGATTTAGAGTCAGAGCATGCCAAATTCGCACGGAAAAGACTTTAATTTTTTAAAAAAGTTAAAAATTTTAACATTTTTGTCGTGATGAAATTGAAAACAATTTAACAAGACTCAAAATCCTGCATTCTAAGCAGCAGAAACTACATTACCTCTCCTTACAGCCCAATCTGCCCATGCCAGATAGCTCCTAACCGTTCGCACACCAGTTTTTCCCGCAAATTGGAGTGAATGCACGATCGACAGCGCTGCTCCAACACCTTTTTCACAAAGCCAAGCCATGACCTCACAGTAGTACTCGACTGCGGCTTCTCCTAGTCGATAACCTGGTGAGTTGCTTCGCAGAGTACGGCGGAAGAGCTGGAAGAAGGGGTTGCCATCCAGCATAGTGAACCTCACTGTTGGAATCACGAGTTGCTTCGTCACCGTCATAGATGGGCCAAAGACCAACGCTTTCTGCAGTTTCAGCGATGTTGTCACTACTTGCTTGCCGAGACGGTAGGGGAGTTTAACAAGGCCACCTCCGCGGGAGTGGCTTTTGGGTAATTGCAGTTGCGTCACCGTTGCATTTGTGGAGGAACAAGATGATGGGCCGCCTTTAAGATTTGTTGAGTTGCCATCAATGTGCTCCCCGCCACGAGTCACGCTCAACAGGTATTGAGGGTCGACCATGGCACCTTCTTGAACTTGGAGTTGAGCATCTTGTACGGCAAAATCATTCACGACCACAAAGCTCTCTTGCGGAAACTGCGTTTTCAATGCCGGGGAAATAGCCATACTTCCGCTTTTGCTTTTCCTTTTGTTGCTATCAGATATATTTCTATGTTTCAACTTCGCTTTCGCCTGTCCATGCTTCATACGCATCAATTCCAATCTTCGCAAAGAGCGGTCGATCGTCCCAGCCACCAGTGATCGCAACCGACGTTTCACTTTATCACCTCGCAAACCTCTGATACGCAGTATGCTTTCCACATCTCGGGTGAGCAAGCCATCGGATTTTGAGAGGGAGACTTGCCAGGAAGTGGAAGTACACCTTTTGTTTTTACCTTTCGGATCAGACGTCGAACGATTGCGAATGCGATTTCCTCCATGACTCCTATAGTACTGGATATGCAAACCCAGTGGAATCGGCTCAGTAGGTAACAAAGGTTCCGACAAGATCTGCGTCACCTCAGCTGCTTTTCCCACTGTCAGTGCGGAAACCGAGAGAGGTACATTGAGTATCGCAGAAGCGATACGACGGGCAGGGGAAGTTGCTCCTTCGTCGTCGGTTTCAGGGCTGTTACTAAGGCTTCTCCTATGGCTGTGTGCGTGTGTGTATGTGCTGCTTCGATGAGGCGTCGAATGACCTCTACTGGAAGGAGCCGTGCTTCCAGTGGTGCCTGTCGAACACGTCGATGATCTACGTTTCCCACAAGTAGACGCATTGTCGAAGTCTGACGCTGAGTCTTCAGTTGAACACCCAAAAGAATCTGCTTCCGTGCTTGCGGACGATGTTGAGCCTTGAGTCAGTGCATCGGGTGAGTTCTCCAACATCGTCTTCCATGATGTGCTGTGCTCGGTGATAGCAGAACAATGAGATGATCCAAAAGATGAAAGAAACATGATGGAAAAATTTGATGTTCGGGAAGGCAACCGTAAATAAATTTTGAATTTTTTCGGGAAAACAGCCGTCAGTAATTGAAAATGAAGATGTTATTTGAAGAGGTCTTGAAGATGAAGAGACCTCCTTCAACTAAATTCAATCAACATGAATAACCCGTACGTCGAGTCGCAAGTATGAAGAAAAAAATTCATATGCGATGACAGGAAAATGGTTAGGCAGTCAGGAAATCTTCAATCAATTTTCGTAAAGTTAAAGGGCTATTGGGAAGCAAATTTATTTCCGGACGAGCCTGAATGAAATTTAGGACGCACCAGATAAGAGATGTAATTGATGATAGATTCAATTACGAGGTTACCGTAAAGCCAAACTTACTCCTACTCGGACAGATGCAGCCTTTGACGGTCGAACCACAGATTGTTCATCTACGACTACATTAACACTCCAATTACAGACCCATACTATCCAACTTCGCTCTCTCACTGAATGTACGTTGTCACAGCTATAATCTGCATATTATCCACCTGGCAGCACGCTACCTGCCACCTGTGGAATAGTACAGGCGGACTCATTCCTTCGTGTACTTAAACACGTTGAAATTGTAATCATGAAGATCAAGTTGGATGCAGGGAGTTCTGCATCGTCATATGTCATGATGAAGAATTATATGGAGAACTAAATTTAGAAGAGAAAAATGGCGGAGGTGCTATCCGTCCAGTGGTGGGACCACTTCTATAGTGGTCGTTGATGTCGATGTGATTCTTCAGTAGGTAATTCTATTTGTCGTCTAAAGTGTCTTCTTTTTCGCTACACTTCTAGCACTAGCGGCCATTTTCGCCCTCGCCTGTGACAGCGAGTAGAAGAATCCTCCAGCAGAATTCAATGCAAATCCAGCCCAACCCAGAGGTGATAGGTTCGTCTTGAACAGGAAGACTCCCACCAGGCTCGTCAGCAATGCTTTCATATTGCCGCAAACGCCTGTCGTAACCGGACTCGTCACCGAAGTGCACCAGAACGTGACGAAGTTCAGGAGGGTTCCCTTAGGATATTTTTTGTATGAAATAAAGGAATGATCACGTTCTTGTCACAGAATGGAGGACTCTCGCCATCTCTGCGGTATAAGGAGAACACTAAATACTTCGTAACATATCCCGGGAAGATTGTGGCGATTTTATCACTTGACTCAAAGGCCGGCCCTGCACACGTTTAGGTTGGCCAGTCTATGACTTCAGTGGTATCATTGTAGGAGTTCATTGATTGGAGTCGTGCCATATTTGGGCACGCTCCTATTTTCTCAAATCTCTCCACTTACTTCTCATTCACTCGTACGCCAGAACGTGACGAAGTTCAGGAGGGTTCCCTTAGGATATTTTTTGTGTGAAATAAAGGAATGATCGTGCTCTTGTCACAGCACCATGATCATCAAATCAATCATGATGAAACTTAACTTAGTAGACAAGGAAGTAGTACAGCACCATCATCAAATCAATGATGTTGAAACTCTACTTAGTAGACACGTTAGTAGTACCTGAAACACATACAGCAAAAACACCACCGCCAAATGCAGACCCGGAATCTCGGTTTTTGACCAGAATTCCGATATTCCCCGTATTTCTCCAGCAGCCATCGGGCAGAACAAGAACATGTTGTAGAATCCGGTGTACCACAGCACATCAACGTGCGTCAATCCAGGCAATTTGTCCAAAGCTCGTGCACAAAGAACTAGGTAACTGCTCTGACCAATGACCGCTAGAAGGGCACAAGCGTAACCAAGTAAGTCGAAATCCAAGTCGCCAGAACCCGTGACCAACGCCCCGCCAAGGACACAAAGCATGCCAACTTTAGCCAATAACGGGTAACTTCTGCTCCGTACAAAGCTGTCCAGGACCAAAGCGACCAAGGGACTCATCCGCTTCAAAACGTTGTAGACCGGCAAACTGGTGTACTTCATACTCAGAAACGAGAAGTACATGTTAGCCGCTTTTGCCGCAGTACAAAGGAACAAATGCTGCAAATGAGCAGGCTTCAAGACGTCCATTGGAGCTCCTTCGATCTTAGAGAACGCAATATTTTGCCCGACGGCCAGCATTCCAGACTAGCCTATCAGACGGACAGAGATCGCGAGCGCGTCTGAACGCTCACCGAGGGCGCATGCTGATGGTGAGCTCCGCTGTCCGTCGTAGGCCGAGTGTGGAATGAGGACTTGTAAGATTTGAGCAAGGAATGGGAGGGTGGGAGAAAGTTTGCATTTGTTGCTTGGTTGAATGTTGCGTGGTGCTTGGAGAATGGAGAATGTGGAATCAAACGAAAAGCTACGCTTTCCTCGAAAGCCATAATTCTTTTTTTTTTGAGAGTCGGATAGATCAGAACTGTGGCGATGAGGCATTCGCAAAACAGCAAGAAGTTCGTACCCGGAAACTTGACCTTCGAAATGATCTGCTTGTTCAGCAATGTCATCAACATCGACACCACGATATAAGACACAGCTGCAGCGGATGACTGGACTAGAGTAGCTTGACGTCGTTGTACTACTGATCCTGATGAAGTAAAAGCACCAGAACTACGACTGCTGGGAGCGACAATATCAGAGGGGAGTTGCTTGTTCGTCGATGTCCGAGGGTTCTTGCTTGGTGAGGCAGAGACACGACGCGATCCAACTTTGCCGCCAGGAGAACGACCACGACTGCCTTTGCGGCCACGCGAGGGTGACTCACGGGTCTCCGTCATTCTTTGAAGTTATGCCTTGTAGTTTACTTGGTTCAAAAGTAGATGAACAAGATGATTAGGCTGTATTCTCAAATAAAGTCAAAGTATTGCGCTACTCTTTAGTACCCTTTCCTCATGCGATAAAGCTGCTGCTGAAAGGACTAGGCGGCTGTCTAGTTAAAATCTAGGCTACCGCCCCTGGATTAGAACCTGCGATAAAATCAAAGTAGAGAAACAGAATCGACTACTCACTGAATCTGAAACTGTAGTTGCTAGCCTCTGCATCATACCCTCGTCTTCCTCTTCTCCTCGACTCACACACGGCTCTCTTGTTCACTCTCGTTAGAATATGAAGATGAGAAGAACTACATCGTCTTCTATTCGCTCAGCACACTCACAATCTTGTATCAGATTCTCAATCAACAACATCAGTCACTGGTTGTACCTAATACTTCTAGAAGAGCGTAGTTTCTTTGCAAATAGCGTAGAAAAACACTTTCGTCTTCCAGCAGGTGATGACTCTCATCAAGCAGAGATTCATATTGGAACCGGTAGAAAGGGAATACTATAAATGAGGTGGTTGTGGGAAATAATGAAGATGTTTAAGTATGATCACACGTCCTGCTGAGCATTTGTCTTATCGTCGCTATTGGTCTTATTGACGCTTTCTGTTAATCGTGGATCACCCGGATCGATCTTTCTCTGCCTCTTAGCATCTGGCGCATTAGGGTTCCCACGTTCATAGAAACTGCGGAGCAAAGTGATTGCTTCCTCCTCAAACTCCGTTGCCTGCAATGCTTCAAAGCCACGAAGGGTAAAGGGTTCCGCTGTGCAGGTCGAAGAAGTGGAGGTTCCACCTGTGGTCGTCGTGGTTGAAGTCGTCGTGAGGGCGGATAGGGCCGTCGAGGAGGAGGATTCTTCCGCTTCTTGATTCTGTTCTTCCCCTTGAGAAGAAGATCGTGGTCGCTTCAACGATGTACTTGCCTCGTCACGAGGACCAGCCTGGATCTCGTGAACGTGACAAACACCACCACAGCCACCAAACCTGGGATTCCGACACCCGAAAACCACCCTTTTCAGCCCACACAATTGCAGAGCCGCTGCGCACATGATACACGGTTCAACTGTCACGTAGAGTGTACAGGATTGCATCCTCTGTTTGAAGGCGTCGGCTGGTGCTAGTTGACAGACCGCTTCATCTCGTTCAGGTTCTTCTTCTCCATTACGACCTTCTATTTGATGTTTTTTCTTCGCGTACGCGTTCATCGTGCTGCCAGAAGAAGATGAAGACGTACTCTGTATCCTCTTCGCTCCATGAATCCCATCCCATATTTCGTCGATGCAAATCATCTCACAATGCCTCGTACCATTATGTTCGCAATTCGTTCGATTTGAGGCCTTGGCAAGGACTCTATTCATCGTACTTCTATCGCCATCTTCACTAGCAACATCGCCATCCTTGTCGGAAACAAATACGCACCCAACGGGAACTTCACCTGCTAATTTGGCCAACCCCGCTTGCTCGCATGCGACGCGCATCCATTTGCTCGTGTCGGATGGGAGCGAGGGAGTAGGGAGCTGTGCGTTTGCTAGGAGAGCCATTGTGTAGTTGATGGGTCCTGCTAGACAGAGATAAATATAATTTAGAGTCGCTAGTCGCTAGATACGCCTTTTCTTTGCTCGTAGCAGCGGCCTGTTGATGACTTTTTCATAAATGAAGATCGTCGAAGAATACCGGAAAGGAGCTTTGAAGTGGAGAGATGAACAGTGCTTGGCATGATGTGAACTTCTACATCTAGACGAGGTAACAAACCTGTTCTGCAATACCGGAAAGAAATGATATCGCGATCGGCCTTTTGAGATCCTCTGAAAATGGAATGATCTCTTTGCAAATCGGTGTTTGCCAATCTCATCGGCAGTCCCGGGCTGTGTGATAATCAGTTTCCACGATTTTGGATCCTTAAATGCTTTTTATGATACCAGGTTCGTTGCCGTGATCAGAACAACCTAGAAAACGACGTGAACAAGAGAACAGTTCAACAGTTCTTTTCAGCGCAAGAAACAGGAAAGAGGACCACGAAGAGCTTGATCAAAATCTATCCACATCATCCCCAAAGTTAGGCTTAGAATTCAAATATCCTGTTGAGCTATTGTAGCTTTGATTATCTCCCTTGTGTTTTTTCCGCACAGGCAAATACTTGTTTCTGATCTCTTCCCTTCTTCTCTGCTGCTCCTCTCTGGCAAACCGCTCAGCGGCACTCTCCACCTTGAGAAGATGCTGGTCTGCTCTTCTTCCTGAAGTAGGGCCAGAACCGGAAGCCGCATGGTATCCCCCACGGTGGCCACCACCACCTCCACGTCCCTTGTTACCCTTATTCGAGAAAGCGCTTTTCTTGGTATCCTCTTTTTCTTTGCTTGCAGCTTGCCTTGAAATGTAGAGGTATTTCCTCTGCAAATCTGCTATTGAGTACCCTCTACTGCGAGACCAATCATAGATGTACTTGCCGCCGTTTTCCTCCTCCTCATCGTCAGAAACGAAATCCAGCTCGGCCACTATGAGCTTATTTGAACATGAAGATGAGGGTCGTCTGTTACTTCCTCCGAATGTAGAAGTGCTTCTGCTATGCCCGATTCCTGTTGGAGAAGAAGGGCTTGGAGGTAAAACCACTAGACCGAAGAATACTTCGAAAACAACGAAAGCAGAAGTGTCGTCTACTTCTTCCCCTATTGACGAGGAGCCTTTTCTCTTCGCTGGCACCACATCCTCATAGATGTTGATCGGCCCATTCTGCAAACCCTCTGCCCGTCTCCTCCTTTCTGATGCGAAACTGAAGGCGCAATGGTCCAATTCGTCTTGCGATGATGTCACTGGACCCCGAACAAGTTGTACACAACGACCATTATCAGCCGCAGTCCATTTGTCGACCAAAGACTTCACATAAGGATCTTGGGTATCAAAAGCAACTCTAGCAAAACCGGTTTCCTCGTCTACAGTGAGAAAAGCACCTCGAACCCAACGGTCAGGGTCTAAGACGTCGGGGAAAGCGGATGAGGCGGGAGTTGCATTAGCAGGATTAGCTGTCGCGCTGGGTTTTCCAATCGCTAGTTTCGTAGCCTGTTCAGCTGGGGGGTCAACCGGACGAGCCTTGTTGTTCTTCTTATTCGCCTTGGCCGCTCTCAAGTCGAATTTTTTCTTCAAAGGATTCACTGAACTTGCTTGAGGTTTTGGAGTAGGTGCCGGCGTATTGACGACAGAAATTTTGATTTCTGGCGCCGCTTCTTCTGGCAGGTCCTCGCCGCCATGATTATCCGGGATTCTTGAAGTTGCAATGGAAAACCCTAAACAAACATCCACGGAAACAAGCGGCTGGAGATTCTTTGCTGCTGATTCCCGTCTTTCTTGAGAAGATCTTCTGCTTCTGCTTGCGCCTTCTTCACCATCTTGTAAGAACTTCTGCTTCTCCTTCTTTTCATCCTTATCCTCGCCAACCTCACCAGCACAGATAAACACCTTATCCAGCAATTCCGCATTCATGAGACACCGTCTACGAATGTGCTTCAAGGATAAAAACAATGGCCCCAGCCGCCTCTTCGTAGGTATAGTCCATCTGGGAAGCGAGTCCGCAAATTTCTCTTCTAAAAGGAGTTCCTCCACGAATTCACCAAGCGTTATTTGCCCAGTTGTGGAACTGTCGGAATCGGAGTCTGAATCGGAATCTGATGACTCGTCTGACTCTGAGCTTTGATTACTCGCTCTCGCGTCTTCGTCTTTGTCCAGCGAAGCTTCTTTTTCCGAGGAAAAAGGACTTCCTTTAGAAGGACTAGAACGTGCAGCAAGAGCAGCATTTCCCGCGCCTGCTGCAGGCGTTTGTAGTAGATGTTGATGATCATCAGGCTTGTTTTGTGGAGTATAGTTGTTCGTTGTAGATGATACGAGCTTCCGGATTTTTCGCTTCTTCATATACGGTTCGAAAGAGGTCATGTCGAAGAAACAATGAGGCACGATAAGTTGAACGCAGTCGTCTGGGCTCAGGCATAGGCGAGCCAAAAGGACACCAGCAGCGCGGACGAAACCGATTTTACTGGACAATGAAAGTTCATCTTTTTCCTCTTGCTCAGCTTCCATCACTTTCTGATAGCCAACCAGTGCTTTCAACTGCTCTTCCGTCAACGGTAACTGCGTAAACCGGTATAGCAATTGCCACATATTACTGATCGCTCTGTCAGCGTTTGCGTTCACGTTGACTCGCGTTAAGGCGTTAATGCCAGAGGACATCCCAGCTCCACTTCCACCTCTACTATCATGGTACGGCGCTACGTGAGTCACCGTCTCCTCAACCTCTTTGATTAGGTCGGTAAAGCGGGGATCATGAGGTGTGCCCTTTTTATTTGAGGGCCCGCTGGCTCTAGTACCGCTTCCACCTGCACCAGACGAGGAAGATGCTCCACCTTTCTTTCGAAATCCACTAGCAGCTGAGAAAGAATCTGTCGTCGTCGCCAAAATTTGACTTTCAAGCGCTGGAGGAAACGGAAAGAACGGAACTAATGGAAGGTTGCTGTTGTTTTTGGAAAGCTTGAATATTTTGCAGCCTGCTGCTTCATCTGCAGTATTATGATTAATATTATGAGATGAGTCATCTTGTGGTCTAACCGCATCCTCCTGATCTCCACTCGTAGCAGGGTCCACATCCACATTCACTTGAGTCAGCGAGCCACGATACTCAAATGGCTGCGGTCGTGAAGGAGACTGCATCTTTTTGGTGCTAGTCATTTTCTACTACTTCTGCTTTACTCATCAAACAAGTTGCTCAACGTAACCACACCTCCTGCGCAAAGGACTGCAATTTTACACTTCTATATTGTTGTAGTGGTCCACGACCGGCAACTAAATTAGGTCGCTTCTGATGGATAGCGAAACGCCTCCAATTACAATTGCAAATTTTTCGAATCGTTCGACGCACCAGCTGGGGTGGGCGCAAAGAAAGCATGCATTTCAACGACAAGAATGTCGAACCAATTTCTTCTCAAGATCATTCTCTCCTGACTTTGACACTGAGCTTGCCTCCGTTCTTCGGCTAAACCGGAAGATCGTGGTTGGTCAACAGTTGATGTTAGTTTATTATGTTCGGAGAAGTAGATGCAGAACACAACAAGGATTCGCCTGCCCAAGAGTAGTTTCATTCACGAAGTGTTCACGTTGTGGGCTTAGATTTAGATTATCTTTCACCTCCAGATCCAACTACTTTTTTTTCCTCAATTTCCTTTCATTTACATTGTACTTATTCACAACAAGGCTTCCACCTGCCTGGATATTCTGAGGTTAGATTAGGTTTGGGCCTACCAGGAAAACTGGCAGACGTGAGTGGCTGCTGAAGAGCCAAAAACAAAACTACGGCCTAGAGCTGCTGGCGCTACGCTAAAAAGTCCTAGTCTCTAAGCTAGTACACTAGACCGATCACCGCCTCGGAAGGACCGTGTCCATCTTCTTTTGACTAGATTCCTGGTTTCGGTGTATTCACTTACTCACGTACTCGTCACGTCGTTCTTTATACTTAAATACACGACTCTGCCAATCAAACAAGCAGCGCGTATTCTGATTGTGAACTTTCTTGTGGACTATTTTTGGGTCATTTGTTGGGGTTACTTAATCTAACAAATAACCCAACAAATGACCCAAAAATAGTTACAGCACTAGTACTAGTACACACTAGTAGATGAAGTACTAGTGTCTTAGTCACACTAGTTGTCACATACTAAAACATTTATATAAATCTAACTACAACTACTTTTTCGTCTTCAACATGATGATCTAAATTTTTTCTATCAAAAAAATTACTTTGAACTACATACTAAAATATTAATATCGTTACGCGCGTAGATATCAGACTCATACTTCATCTTCATGTACTTGATCTACTTCTTATTGTCATCTTTTACTTATCTTTGAGTACTAGTATGTGGAGCTCTATCTGAACGACCACGAGAGAGAGAGAGTAGAGGTACGACAACTTCTAGTCTCAATTTCTCAAAAATTTTACTGAGAATACACACAGGGGCGACCAGGAGGACGAAGGGGTGAGACACGAACATCTACATTTTGAAACATCAACATTCTCAAAGTCAAATTCAACATCAAAAAGACTATGACTACGGCTAAAAATCGTTCAGAAAGAAGACGTGGTGGCGTCAACACAGTAAAGGAAAAGAGAGCTTCTAAGAACTCAAGAAGATGCTGACACTCATTGAGCAGGAGGACTTTTAACGAGTTGTAGTTTCAAATAGAGATCAGCCAGGGCCATCGTCCGGTGGCTCCTTCTATATCACCTAACCCTACAACAAGTTGAATCCACAACATAACAAAACATCTACGACATGAGCTGCTGGCGCTCAACCAGATGGGTCTTCCTTTTCGAACATAAAAAGAAAATGCCCGTTGTAATATAGTTACAAGACATGATCAAACGAGAATCAACATCAGCTATTGGAGCTTCATCGTCGTCCTGCATCATCTACGTGGTTACAAAAACAAGTACTGTTATCTAGACTCCTGAAACTCTCCTTTCATAATCTTGTGGTCTAAAAATAGAAGCGCGGCGATCAATATCTCTTTTTCAACACGTCGTCGATCGAGTTTTCAACACGATTCATAATTGGCATTAAAAACAACCTCACTACTAGTTACTTGATAAGGTAAAAGTTGTATACGTAGTTTTTTTCTCTTCATCAATGTGTGTAAAGAAGTTGTCATCAAAACAAGGAGCATTAACGGACGACCTAGTAGTCTGTCGCTCCCTACTTGTCGGAATCAAAAAAACTGATAGCATCAAATATCAGGTCCTGTTGATCCCGACGAGCAGTAATATTAATTTCTCTTAGCAGCCACTTGAAACTTCAAATTCCATCGAGTTGCTTGCTACTCCTGCTACGTGTTGCTTGCTACCAGGTAGCAACTCGTGCTATTTTCATATCATATTCATATTTCTCTTTCTACTAAGTACTGCGATGATAGAAGTCTTAGTGGATACATATTTCTTTCGCTAAATGAAGAGGTCTTTCTGCGACGAGGACCACTCCAGTACTATAACTAAGTCTAAAAAGGGTGGTGAAAATCTATTGCGAAGAAATAAGAACGATGACGCTTTTGTTTAGATTGTAGGCGAATAAATACTCTATTTAAATACTATTAAAAATCCCCGAACACTCCTCGCCTTTAATGTGAACACTAAAGGACCCCTAAGACGCCTTTAATGTGAATGCTAAAGGACTCCCCTCCCCTTTAATGTGAACACTAAAGGACCCTTAGAGCGCCTTTAATGTAAACACTAAAGGACCCTTAGCGCGCCTTTAATGTAAACACTAAAGGACCCCTAAGGCGCCTTTAATGTAAACACTAAAGGACCCCTAAGGCGCCTTCAAAGTAAACACTGAAGGCCTTCCATGTGAGCAGCAGATGGCCTTGAGGAAGAACAAGAACAGCAACAACAGCAAGAACAACAAGAACAACAAGGACAACAAGAACAACAAGAACAACAAGAACAACAAGAACAACAAGAACAACAAGAACAACAAGAACAACAAGAACAGCAAGAACAGCAAGAACAACAAGAACAACAACAGCAAGAACAACAAGAACAACAACAGCAAGAACAACAAGAACAACAACAGCAAGAACAACAACAGCAAAAACAAGGAGAACAACAACAGCAAGAACAACAACAACAGCAAGAACATCAACAAGAACAGCAACAACAGCAGCAACAACAAGAGCAACAACAAGAGCAACAACAAGAGCAACAACAAGAGCAACAACAAGAGCAACAACAAGAGCAACAACAAGAGCAACAACAAGAGCAACAACAACAACGACAGCAACAGCGACAGCAACAACGACAGCAACAACGACAGCAACAACGACAGCAACAACGACAGCAACAACGACAGCAACAACGACAGCAACAACGACAGCGACAGCAACAGCAACAAAACAACAGCAGCAACAACAAAACAACAGCAGCAACAACAAAGCAGCAACAACAAAGCAGCAACAACAAAGCAACAGCAACAGAGCAACAGCAACAAAGCAACAGCAACAAAGCAGCAGCAACAAAGCAACAGCAACAAAACAGCAGCGACAAAACAGCAGCTGCAGCAAAACAGCAGCAACAAAACAGCAGCAACGACAGCCACAACAGCCACAACAGCCACAACAGCAACAACAACGACAACAACGACAACAACGACAACAACAGCGACAACAGCGACAACAGCGACAACAGCGACAACAGCGACAACAGCGACAACAGCAACAACAGCAACAACAGCAACAACAGC